CCACATGAAGCTGGTGTGTCTGCTGATCAAGAAGGGGGCGAGGGTAAGCAGCAGCCTTCCCCAGTGGGTGGGAAATGTCTTCCTGTCCTTGCTAGAAGGATCAGCGGGACCCACCCTCTTTTGTCTCTATGTTATTGAATTGCCATGAACAGAAATCACCACAGAAACAGAAAGGGTGGAGCTACAGGCCTGCTCAGTGTGATGTTGCCTGATGTGGTGCTCGAGTGTACAGCCTTGGAGAACGAGGGGCCGTGTGCCTTGCTCCTAAGCTCTCGCTCTGCTTAGCATTGCCCAAGGGGAGGTAATCCCGGATACCAGGGAGACTCTGGCCACCAGCAGCATGAGGAAGGCCTTCCTTCCCAAAGCCCTGCAAGTATGGACCTAGAACTCATCACAGAATTTAACACAGCACCGACTGGTTGAAAAGATTTAAATTTTTTTCCCCCTCTGCTTATCCCATTTTATTTCATGTCTTTTTTATAGAATAATAAAATGAGTTCTATGGGTCTAGACAGCCCAGGATCCTCGTTTCTCCACCTGCCAGCTAGGACATTGGGCAAGCTGTTGAGCCTGTGTGCCTCAGGCTTCTCATCTGTAAAATGGGCATAACAACACCATATACCTTAGGGCTGTTGTGTGAGCATTCGATAAATCAGTATATTAACATTAATATGAGGTAACAGTATAATATTAAACAAGTTACTCTAGGACTATCAGTGTTAATAGATTAAATGAGAACTGTGCCAAGCTCACAATAACTCTGTTTAGGTTCACTGTAAGCATTTCATTGAGGGGAGATGCACTTTTGAATAACAGTAGAAATAAATCACTGATGTTTGTCTTTATAGTCCATGAAGACACTTAAAGTTCAATGAAAAGGTATTAGGCTTAGAAGAACTGTGGGAGCCTTTTTGGTTTTTCTCTCAAAACACAACATTTGGGACAGATGGACCTTAGTTCTTGGAAGAAGAGAAATGTTGCAGTTCAGGCTCTCCTGTGAGCATTTTAGTGCCCATCACCACGCCTCCATTTCCACAGCCAAACTGTGACTTAGCTTTATTTGAGGCTGGCAGGACCCTGCCTATCACAGCTGAAAGCTCTGTAGGAGGAAGGAGGGGTCATTTAGGTGACGCTTGGAAAACTTCTGGATGTGGGTGCAGAGCATCTCCAGACTTTACAAGTGAGGAGGGGCTGGACCCTCTTATTATACTGTCTAAGACCAGTTTCTGGATTTAGACAGGAAATGATGGATTGTCTGCTGCCCTTGGACCTTTAGGAGATACGATGCTCTCCAGAAAGATGCATTGGAATGTGAACCCCACGTACATATGCAGTGGGATGGGGTTTGCACACAGCGTTTGTGGTGCACTTGTTTTCTCAGAGAAAAGGTAACGCTAAACTGTGACCTTCCCTGTTCCCGCCTTCCAGGTGGACCACTTGGATAAGAAAGGCCAGTGTGCGCTGGTCCACAGTGCCCTGAGGGGCCACGGGGACATTCTCCGGTACCTGCTGAGCTGTGAGTGGTTGGCAGGTTCTCCCCAGCCAGGCGCACTGAAGAAGAGCCAAGCCCTGCAGCAGGCACTGACGGCAGCCGCCAGCATGGGCCACAGCTCGGTGAGTGGGGCTGCAAGGTTCCTTTTTGGGTAACTAGAAGCTGTAGCCCAGTGGGGTTGGTGCCTGTGCCAGTCCCCTTCAGAGTTGCTCGCATGTGATGCATGGAAAGAATGAAACAAAAGGAGAGTTTCAAGAAATAGCAGTTGGCTTGACCATGTGTAAAAATCTGCTGGCATCTCACTCTTCCAGTGAATGAAAACCCAGAACCCAATGTCGGGTATGCATGCATGCTCATGGACGGGGGCAGGCCACGCCCACATGGAGCCCTTTGTAATATTCATCATGTTCGGTCTCTGCTCTTATCTGTTTTCCTCTTCCCCTTCTTCTTTTATTCTTCTTTCACCCTCTTGCCCTGCTGTCTTGCCTTTTTTTTTTTTTTTCATGCTTTGGTTCATTCTTTTGTCCTTGAGATCTTTTAAAAATAATCACATGGAATCCTAATTCTAAAATTGTTCTTGAGTATTTAAAGGATTAAAAAAAACACCACAGAACTTCAGTGCTCTGGCAGCATGTAAGAATGCTTGTCATCCGCAGCTCCTGCATTGTAGGAAAACTTCACGCAGTAGCTAAATAGAGCACTTATTTCTGGTAGATGTCAGTATTCCTCAGTTTGAAGATTTAATTGTCATCTCCTGACCCATGTCTGAACTTAATAGTATTTTAACTGCTCCCTTCCATGTGTTTCTCACTCTGCATTAGCCTCAAGCAATTAGAGTTGTCAGTATTTGGTAAGTTTCTTCACCACAATGATTTAAAGTAAATTTGGTTGCAGAGCTGGCTGGCTGGCTGACTTTTTAGCATTGAAAGCACAGGGACAGACACATGCACACGTACACACACACCCATGCACACACATGTGCGCACACACACACGCACTCCTGGCTGACTAATTTTTGGCATTTAAAACATTAAAAATACACATTTACAGTACTTCAACCGACACAATATATTTCAACAAGCTGAATGCGGAAATGTATAAAAGAATGTAGCTGTCTTGGCTTAAGGCAGACATAAAGAGATTTGCAAAAATATGACACAATGCCAGTCAATTAACCTATCTGTTTTAGTTTAGAAAAAAAAATACTCATTAAAAAAATTTCATAAAAATATGTTAAATGTTACAAGGTAATGGGTTTATTATTATTCCTTTAAAATAAAACTCTAAATAATTAGTTTTAAAATACCCGTATACATAGATACACAGAAAGCATGTTAAATACACAGCTTAGAAAATGTAGATGTTTTTCCTTTTTAAACTGTTCCCTAAACCTGCGTCCAGAGAGTAAAAAATCACCATAGGGAGGATAGTGAGCGCCACATGTAAATGAGACCTCTGTCTGAACTCATGTTAAACTCACCTCTTTTTAAAGCTGGCTAGGAGGAATACTGTGCAAATACAACCTCAGCTCAGCTGGTAACCATTTCATGGAAAAGGGCAGGATTCATTCACCAAAAGACTTGAAGGGTGTCCTCGAAGGGTGTCATAGCTTCCTAATGTTGTTGTAACAAGTGACCACAGACTTTTGGTCACTTAAAATGGCACATACCTATTATCTTACGGTCCTGGAGGTCAGAAGGCTAAAGTTAAGGTGCCAGGAGTCCCGTGTTCCATCTGGAGACTCTAGAGGAGAATGTTTTTGTTTTTTCTTTTTTCTAGTTTCTAAAGCCATCTGCATTCCTTAGCTTGTGGCCCCGTCCTCTGCCTTCAAAGTGCATCACTTGACCCTATGCTTTGTGCCGTCCCATCGCTTCCTCCCTCCTGTCCCTTTTATGAGGACAGCTGTGATTGTGTGAGGTGTGTACGAGATAGGCACCTGGGTAATTTAGGATCCTCATCCCATTTTAAGAATCGTAATCATAGCTGTCCATTGCCTCTTGCCATATGAGGTAACGTTCCCAGGTTTCTGGGACGAGGAGATGGATATATTCAGGGGCCGATATTCAGTCTACCGCAAAGGGTGTGGCTTGTGAGATGTGAAAAATGGCTTCATCGTGCTCTCCTGTCACTGCTGTTGCTCAAGGTGAGTGCTGGCTCTGGTTCAGGGTTCGGACACCTGTGTTTCCCCACGAGCCAGCACTCTGCCTCCACACCTGTGACCCAGCCCGCTCTTTGATGGGGAAGATTCCTGTATGGAAAAGAAGAAGAATGCTGATAATAGAAAAAAAACATCTGGACAACGCTATTTATTTTATTTTCTTGCAAAGATATACATTGCCTCATTTTCTTTACTTGTGAAAGCGGATTCACCATCTTCTGGTGATTTATGCAGAAATTGCACTTTGTATGATTTCCCATGTCCTTTGTTGATTAGGCTGGCATATTTGGGTCATGTTGGAATTCATTAAAATTCTGAGTACCTGGTAATCCTGAACAATGTTGCTGAAATTCACTGAATTTTTTTTTTCATTCTGCTCAGAGTGAAAGTGTGAATAGCATATGAATTATGCTTGAAAACGGTTTTCATTATATTTTCTCTTCCTTGTGCAGCATGAGATAATCATGGTTAAAAAAACAACACACTCTCTCCTTTGATACATGGGATATAATAAGCACATATGGCTCTGAGAACTCATTAAATCACCTTGCCACTTCTGACAGGTGGTCCAGTGCTTGCTGGGACTGGAAAAGGAACATGAAATAGACGTCAATGGCACCGACACGCTGTGGGGAGAAACAGGTAATTATGGTTCCACTGCTTATAGTCTGGGCCAGCTTGACGTTTTAGCCCTCGTTTTGGCCCAATTGTCTTAAGAATGATTTGGGATGCATAGATTCCTGTTGTTATTTTATCACGACACATGGGAAGCTGAGAGCTTTTAAAACTTCCCAAATGAAGAGCAAAACTTGTCTAGAATCATAAAAAATTGGAATCATTTTAAATCAGATGGGCAGTTCTTACACAGTTAGTGAACGTCAGCTAGAAATACCTAAGTAAGGTGCTCCCTTATCCTAAGCTACCTGGTCTTCCTGTGGGCAAGGCAGGGACTTCCAGCCCCATGTTCCGATGAAGCAAGAAAGGCTGTGGTCTGCCCTGTGGAATGAGAGCAGGACGCGGGCCTCATGGGGCCTACTTACAATGCTGCATACAAGCTGCCAAGTCCGTTTCCATTGGTGCAGGGTATATGTGTTTGTAGTGTGGGAAGAAGCCCACGGGGAGGATATCTTCATGAAGATCTGGGTTGGTTACCTGTCAGGTTCATAGAGGGAATGCTTTGAAATTTTCCATTTGACTGAATGGGCATTAGAAATGTAAGGCTTTAAGTTACGAGTAGTTTAACAGATAGAACCATGAGTGTTGAATACGCATTTCCAGGTTGTCCTGAGTGTGTACGTCGTGTTTGTGACTTCCATGTCTCTTGCACAGATTTATTTCCGAATGCTGGTCAATCATGTCTTCACAAGCCAAATGGTAGTGTGTAGAGTTTATCAGCTACTTCAAGGAAAAACCTCAGAGTTTTAGGGGTGGGGTGGGGTGCAGGCCTGCACTTCGGAGCCTCCTGGCACCCTCCCTCTGGGGCTGCCACCATGCATGTGACTTGCAGTGCTAGTTCTGATGCCAAGGGAGGAGATGGCTAGGCCCCTGGTTCCAGGGAGAATGCAGGACCCCAAATGGGGTTGAATTACGATCGGGCCTAAACATGTGTAAATTTAAATATTGCCTTTAATTCTTTATGGAGTCCTTCCTCCACCCATTTAAATAGTACATGCTCCTCTATAATTTGATGAAAGAAAAGTTTCCATCCACTTTGATACTGTGTTTTGGGCAATGGTGTACCCAGGTAGGTCAGTGTGTGACTTGGCTTTGTGCTTAGCCAGAGCTTGGAATCCTTGCCTTTTCGTGGCCTGCTTTAGCAACTTTGGACATGTTACTTTGACTCTTTGTCAAATGAGGTAAATAGTATCTGCTTCCTAGGATGGTGGCAAAGATAAGGAATCTTGTCCAAATGTACCTAATAATAAGAACCCCTGGGGCACTTGGCACCTAGAAATCCTGATTCATTAGATATCCAGAGGAGCCCAGGACTCTATTTTCTTAACACACATCCCAGGTTGTGTCAGGTGCCTCATAGTTTCAGGGCACATAGAGAACCACTGTGTCCGACTTACGGAGACATATAATGAGAGGCCCCACGATGGTGATGTGGGTAAGTGCTAGTAACGATACCCACTGAGCTCAGATGGGAATCTCTAGCCTTTCATACTGAAGGTGATTTTTCTTTCTGGAAGAAACATCCACAGAAGGGCCGCATTGGAGGGCTCTGTGTGAACGGTGTGTTGTGTCTTCGCAATGACCCATCCTGAACTTAAGTATCCCTGCTCCTCACTGAGAATCTGCTTGGTTGATAGCTAAAGAGAAACTGTTGACTTCCTGTCAGTCTTACTGAAAAGAAGAGTCATAGCTCAGCCCCACCCTTCCAAAGCCTCGCACATGCACTTCAGACCCCTTTGCAGCCTGAGAAGCAGTTCACACCCTTCCTCAGCAGGCATCAGGGTGGACTTCATCAGCCAGGAGTTCCAGAGACATTATTTTATTTATTTATTTTTTTAACTGGGGAACAGCCATGGTCATTGGTTACACATTGCTTTCATGCTACCGTGGCATAGTTGACTCTTTTAAGGAGGGCGCAGCTCACAGTGGAGATTGAACCGGCAACCTTGGTGTTATCAGTACCACACTCTAACCAACTGAGCTAACCGGTCACCCCCAGAGACTTTTTTTAAAAATTTAAACCAGGAAGAAACTAAGCACTATTTCTCAGGCTTAGAGGACCCTGACAGATCTTGGTGGACCACATTTCAACGAAATCAGTCTTCCCTTCTCTGCATTTTTCTATCTGGTACTTTTCTCCTGTGTTCCTTCAAAAACGACCACCAATATCCGCTACCCCAAACCCTCCTAATTTCCAGGTCTGTGCCTGTCAAAGGAACCCTTTGAAATCTCAGGATATTTTAGATGAGAGAATATTTGCAGATTTGGGACTCTGCATGAGCGAAGACTGCAATGCTTAGACCACGAGGCCTGTATTTGGGGTCCAGCCATGTTGGGTCCACATTACCTGAGCCCAAGTGCCTCCTGGAACAGAAGGCCCTGATGATGAGCGTAAGCAGGTGTGTCAGCTCACAGTCCTCATTCTCACTGAGTGGCACCTGGCAGCTCCCCCGGTCTGGGGTCTGTGCAGGCTATGCACTGCTTCTAACTGCTAGGGACCCTTGGAAGTGAAAGCAGTTGTTTCGCTTCCTGGTTTTGTTTGGTCCTCGTTCTTGGGTGTGGCCAATGGTGCTTTGTGCTAAGACACTCTAGAATGGAGCTTGTCTGTCTCCGGTGACACCTTGAAGGTAGGATCCTCAGACTGATCCTGCCTGGGGTGTGGGGAGATGATGGAACAACTGGAAGCTTTGTATGAAGAATGCAGTTCAATTATTTGCCTTTGAACCCTTGAATGAGTTTATGCAAGTCTATCAGCATAGCTTTATCTGTGAACAGCTTGGCTTAAAATACCAGCTGATGGGGTTACAAGGCTGAGTCTCCTGCGTCTCTTTTTGGCTCAACTGCCCAGCTTGGAAGGGCTTGTTGTTTTTCGTGAAGAAGTGCCACGCTGTTTGGGGCACAGTTACCTGCCCATCTCTTCTCTCACAACCACGTTCCAGAAGTGGGGGTGCTAAGTCCGAGCGCGGAGCCCTACTCCACTCTTCTGCCACGAAAGACTCTTGCAATCCCACTGCAGCTACTGTGCGTTGCAGAAGTGCCATTTTCATGCCTGAAGCTGATTGGAAGTAGCAGGTCATTGATGAGGGGTGATGACAGCTGACCGCCAGAGAGGAGGGGGCACAGGGAACAGCAGATTTGTGCGAGGTCCCTTGTAACTCAGGCCAGTCCACGGCGGGATGGCAGGAGTAGGGACAATTGTGCATCTTTTTTTTTTTTTTAATTGGGGAATTGGGGGAAGGGGAACAGACAAGTTGTTGTCGTTGTTTTTTGTTCTTCAGTCTAGTTGTGGGGGACGTTGCTTCACTGGCCTAAGTTGGCACCATCATTGCGCTCTTCCCAGGCAAGGCAAATCAGTCGCCGGCTTCTGGATGGCCACTCACAGCGGCTGCTGGCTGCTCACCCTGGCTGCTGGATACACATGGTAGCCCATGGCAACCCACTGCAGCAGGGGCTGCAGCCTACGCTGTCGCCAGCGACTCATGGCAGCCCAGCTCCAGGTTGAGCTGTTGTTCAGCATCTTAGCTGTAGAGGGCAGTGTCACTGGCCCTCATATGTGGGATCCGAACCGGGGCCCCCTGGCGTCCAAAGCCAGTTCTTAACCATTGCGCCACTCGGCCGGCCCCAACTGTGCATCTTTAGTACCCTTTGCGTCTTCCTCCTGATGGCACAGAGTTATCAAATGTCATCACAAAAAAGAGGATGGTTCCTATCTTAGGTTTAAAGAAACAAGAAAGTATATCATAGATTTTTAAGACTGACATGATAACAATGTTTAGGGTTTATTGCAATAAACCTACAGCTTTTAGAAGGCTGACAGAATGGCTCTACCTATTTTGGAGAGCAGAGAGCTCAATTTGTGTATGTATTAATAAGTTTCCCTTTTCACCAGCATCTGGGGCTCTTTGTTCTTTATGTCTGATGTTTCGAGTCCAGCCCTTCCAAATTAGTTCTGTAGTCTGGTTCTCGTGCTCACTCAGGTAGAGAAGCAATAGGACCCACGGAAGAAAGCTCGAAGCTGCTGAAGAGTGGGCTTGCTGGGGTGTCTGTCCACCCAGCAGCTCTGCCCAATAGGCCGTGAGGTCCTCTGCTCCATGACTTTCCCAGATTTGCTCGGTCTCGGTCTCTTGGTTTCTGGGCTGCCGGGTACATGACCAGAACCTATCAGATGCCTGTTATCTCCGTTTCAGGCATTCCACAGTCATGACAGCTAAGTGCTGGCTCCCATGAAGTCCAGACCTAACTGAGTGACTGTTTCCATGTCAGTGTTTGGTATGAATTAGCCCAAACAGAAATGATCAGAGAATCTTAACTGGTGACCTCACACTGTTGTGGACTGTCAAGAGGAACTGTGGTTCCAAACTCCAGGCAGCTCTCAAGCCTGTGAGCCTTCTGTGTACGTTGCTGGTCAGAACTTCTAGCTTTTTACAGGGGGAATTAGAGGCCCTTCCAGTTGGCATTTGCCATTTTACATGCAAATATGCCTGCCTTATTAGCAAAGCCTTCCCCACCCCTGACTCCTTTAGGTCACTTTGCAGTTCCCTTTGTAGCACTTGCCACTTATAAATTCGATTGTTGATGTTGCCTATTTGATAAAAGGCTGTTTTGCCCAAACTGTGGGCTTAGGAGGGCAGAAATGTCCAAGTCTCTTGAGCTCACCTGAGTGGATGGCGACTGTGTCTGGTCTGGTGTTGTCCAATAGAACTTTCTGTGATGGCGGAGATACTGTCTTCCTGTGCTATCCAGCCTGGTAGCCACAAGCCACAGGCCTTGTCTGGTGCTCGTCACATAGGTGTTGACTGAGTGGACATGTGGGTTTATAGAAAAACAAAGCTGTGTAATATTTTAGGTCAGGTGACAGTCACTCTGAAGAATAATTTGGGAGGAATTTTGTTGTTGCAGCCGGAGGGGTAAGGCACCCCTTACCAGCTGTTCATAAGGACCTGATCTTCTGGTTTCTTTGCGCCTGT